CAGCAGGTGCTGAAAACAGGGCCCGTTCTCGTGGCCACTGCAGGAGCCGAACACCTGTGGGTGCTGCCCGGGCCCTGCTGGTCCCTGCACACGGACCCCGCAGCCTTCCCACGGCAGCTGTTGGGATGAAACAAGTTACTCCCTTACCTGGCTCGGATCCCTCCCGAAGGAAAGCTGCCGAGGTGCCAGGAGACCGAGGGCATTTACTCACGGGGACACACACCGTTATCACCCCAAACATACAACGACGCGAGATGTGTTTCCTCCACAATTTTTATTTTAAATTACAAAGGATGTTGCATACATTGATGAATTTGTATCTGAATAGAAGTGCTAGGGATCAAGGGTGACAGAGTAAACAAAGTCAATAGTTGAATTGTGCCTCTTCTCAAAAAAGAAAAACAAACTGCACAACTATTAACCAACATTAAACATCGCAACTCTTAACAGATCATGCTTTTAACAAGGTAAATTTATTTTCTGACAGAGACAAGACTCTCAGTAAGTTTTTCTGAGCTCCAGTTGGAAGTTGATTATGGAATATCAAGGACAGCGTTACAATCATAACCCCAAGTACAGGCAGAACAGGATGCCATGTTTTGTTTAAAATGCTTTTTTTTCTTGCCTGACAACCACCTACGTTCACATGTGCCATCAGCCTCACGAGTTCATCCAACCACAAATACTGAGCAGCAAGTTTTGCTTAGACATAGTGTTCTGGGAAGATAGAGGATTCAAATCAGAATATATCACTATCAATAATGGTAAGACATATTAATAAAATTAATTGCTGCTACTAGGTTCTGTTTCTTCATCAGAAGATCTGGATACAGTGGAGTGTGCTTTTGACAATACCAAATCCAATCCAGAAGTTTCCCTTACAATACCTAGTTAACTCACCCAAATTTGACTTAGAGATACTGGACTATAAACAATTCTTGACTCAAGATAAACTCTTAACACCTTTTTTTTTTTTTTTTTAATGGAAAAACAGGGGAAAAAAGTGTAGCTTAAAATACTTCTGGCTCCACTTTTAGCTCTACAGCTCATTAGAAAGATAATAAATGCATAATCAGTATTTGCTCTTGTGGAAGTTTACGAATGTCTAAGAGGCTGAGGATTGTAATTCAGTGCACACACACCTTCTTATCATGCTAGAAGCACTGGGGGGAAAAACATGGCATATTGTGAAATGTAAATCATAGAAACAGAGACATTTTTGTATGCTGCAAAGAAGATAAAACCTAAAAGTGCCATCTTTCATTCATGACGTTATGAATCCCAATTTATATTGGGAGATACTCAAGAGTGCTGTTGTCTCAACATACTAATGCCCTTAATACAGTTACAAGAATCAGTCACTGCAGCAGTAACTGTTTGAAATGTACTTCACACAATCCTGGGGTAAACAAAATAAACGTCAGCTGTGTGCAAGGCTGTGTCAATAAGCCAAGACCACATATAGCAGCACACTTAACTAGATGATTCCAACTGAAGCCTCCAACTTATAAAGAAAATAAAATCATTATTAGATGCATTCTTGAAATTCAGGTCTCAAGGCCAAATCCAAATCCTAACATTCATGGTACATAACTGAGTTATGCCTCAACAGAACTTCAGGAAGACTAGCAAGCATGTTTGAGGAACAGAATTGCATTTGCTATTTCTGCTGAAGGCAACTTGTATACAACCCTTTGAAATTCTCCTGATAAAGCCTTTTAGAGCTCTAAAAAATAGCTGTTTAAATGATTCATGGAAAAGAAAAGCACATCCAGTCTTTATATTGTATGACTAAGCTGTTTTATTAATGAAGGCAAATATCAGATAAATATTTGGGGGTGGATCTTTTTGAAATAAAATCAAAACTGACACCACTGTACTTCAGAAGTGTCTGGTTGCTTTTAGGTTAGTTAAAAGACCCTTCATCCATTTTAGGGTTTTTTCGTTTCGTTGTTTTAAAAAAACCCAAACAAACCAAGACTTTTTTCCTGGCCCTCTTAGTAGGAAAAGAAGTCTATCTACAAAGAGTTAGAAACTGAACACAGCTGAGCCTGACTCTCACATCAGCATTACAGCAATGCAACTTCATTAAATCACAATGATTTCAATTGGTATGATAAAATCCAGCCATCCACACATAAACGTAGCTTCAGTAATAAGTCTCCCTCATCCAAAAAAAAGTACTCACCAAGTATCAGTAAATGTATTCAATAAACCATAGAAGGGAAGCGTTAGCAAAAGGGGTTTAGGGCTAAAAAACACCCTTCATGAGCACCCCCACATTTTGCAAGGCCATTCAAAAACTGGTCTTCCATATAAATACAAAAGGACTGCTACTGAGAGAAACTGAAATCAGACCTATCCAGACTTTCTTCAGGATGCTTTTATCAGTTCTGATTCAATTTCAGAAGGGTTAGGTTTGAAGAGTTCAGAGGGAATGAAAAACATTTAGTTCTAGGTGTACAAGTAAGGCACAATATAAAGCCACATCATCATCTGTCATGAAGGAAGTAGGAAAGGACAAGAATCATACATGGTACAGTAGAACAAGCAGTCCAGCAATTCCAAGTGTGGCACCTAAGTTCAGACTGATGAGATCTCAACAAGAGCAGTTATGACAGCATGCTTTTAATATGGAAACAAATTCTAGAGAATCCAGTGTATCAGAAAAAGGAAGAGCTTTTGTTTGTATTAAATCAAAAATGTATCATTGTTTTTGGATATAGGATTAAAAGTGAATATTCACAATGCCTACACTCAAAAACAAACAAACAAAAAATAATCCAGGACTTAATTAAGATCCACATACCATGTATGAACACTGAAAATCTTTAGAAAATGGTCTTCTCTAAAGATCATCCAAAAATGCATGCCACAATTGCCAAGAAACAGAACATGTACATTTGTTGGTTTTTATACCCTTACAAGATTTTTTGTTTGTGATAAGTATACACTAAATGTATATATTTTAATGACACTAGAGGAAGCAGATTGTTACTGGCATTAAAGTACAACCATTTCTAGACGGTTTAAATGCCACAGAGTCCCCTGGTTAAAATGTAAAGCTGCACAGCTTGCCTATGTCACCTTTATGATAAAGTTAAACCAGCAAAAGGTCTTATCTTTACTCTACATTTTACTGCCAGGTTTTATTTATATCAAGTATCGCTGCAGCATTCTGACCAGCCCAGAGTTAGCAGCAAGTGGCAGGAATCATATAAAACGCAGTTTCTTTTTTTTTTTTTCTTTTTTTCTTTTTTCTTTTTAAACAAAGTGCTTTTCTAAGATATACATACATATAAATAGGTACAAAATAAAGTGTCAACATTAAAAAGCTCAACTATTTAAAAGCTTTAACTTAAAATAATACATAGAAAACACTGAAATGCGAGGGTATGGAATTCACTAAAGATTCAAAGTCTACCTTGAAATGCTAGACCAAAATCATATTCTGGTTTTCAGACAAAAATTAAAAAGCTATAAAGTTGTATTTGCCCAGTATTTCTGAGCAGTAGAAGGGGGACTTTTTAATACCTTGTCAGTTTAATTTGTTACAGAAGTTTCTTCCTCATTGCAAAACTGCTCCCTTAATGTTTAGAAATGCTGCCTTGCCTGCAGAGCTTGGATATAGCATAAGGACCTCTCAGATCTGAGCAGTGCGTGAACACCATCCATCAGAAAGGAACAGCAGTGTTCAAATGGTGGTACAGGCAGAGCCTGAACTTCACAAGAGACATTCTTTGTCGGGGTTTTATGGGCCATGTGCATCGCCAGAGTAACTGCAACGTTGGCAATAATGACAACAGGAATACATCTGACCCACTGTGTAAAGCAGCAGCCAACTCCCACCTCACCCTAACGACAACAAAAACACCTGAAACAAAACCACTCACATTCCACTCAGATTTTGTGAGTCTGAAGTGGATTGACAAAGTTTTGAATAAATTGCCCTGGGTATTAGTTCAGTCTCTTGTAGGAAAGCCTTTCTGTACGGCTCAGTAGTGGTATTTTGGCCTCCTCCTCCCTTTTGAGTCTTCCAAAATATTTAGATACAAAGCAGGCTGTGTACACACTCACAAGGACATGGCAGGGCTGCCCCCTGCATCGGCCACTCTTACTGCACTATTACTGATTCAGACTTTCTTTTTTATAGTACAAGTTTGGATATAAAAATAATCTACTTACAAACAAAAAGGAATCACAGTACAAACAAAGACAAACCAGAAATGAAGTGGAGAAATCCCCCAAAGGGAATGGGGAGAAAGCCTTCATGGACTTTTGCATTTTTTTTTTCAGCAGCTACATTTGAAAATATTTGGTATTTCTATTTTCAGTAAACAGTGTTTTGTCATCTTTAAATAGGGAGAGAAAGAACAGGGAGGAAAAGGGGGCAGGGGAGGGGGTCCATGAAACCAGAGAATGATCTTGCCTTGAGATAAAGGACTTTCTCATTAAAGGCTAAAGCTTTAATCTGTACGTTAACACTGACTACAAAGCCAACTCTTATTAGCAGAAGAGCAAATAAGAACTGTGTGTTAATATTCCTCAATCATAGAAACTACTGAATTAACAAGATATAAGTTTGAAGAAGCTAGTTTTGAAATATCTGTACAAAAATATAAAAGTCTATAAATTTTTGTTTTGTTTTGTCTGAAGCCTGTGTTGATCCTTGGAAACATCTCATGCATAATAATACATCAACTGGAAAAGTGGCAACTAAGGAATTAGATATTTGTAGCTCTTTTTTCTCTTTACATATATACACATTACAATAAAAATAATTTTATTTTGGTTGTTTGGTGGAAGTATACTACAACAAGCTAAATATTTTTATATATATATTTTTTTTTAAATTCTCAAAGTTGAAAACTATTTTACCAATAGCTTACTAAAATCCAAATATATTAAAATCTCCTACAGTAAGTGCAGAGGAAAAAAAAAAAAAAAAAAAAAAAGATGTAAAGACTCCAAGACGGCCACCAACTTATCTACCATGGAAGCGAACTACAAGAACAGCAAAATAATATTGTTATGTATGAATGCTCCTTCTGTAGATAATTGGACCCAAACAAAAAAATTCACAGTTCAGTAAGATCCCTAACCCTGACCTTTAATTTTTTTCTTTTTTTTTTTCTTTTTTTTTTTCTCATTTGTTTTTACATTCAGTACAGTATCATATAAGCTGTGCAAAACTTTACTTAGACTGGCAGTTTGCCATATCAGTTGCATTTGTCTTTGGTACAAAAATAAACAATCGCATTAATGTGCAAGTATTTGTTTTCTTCCGGCCAAAGTACCGAAATTGAGTTTTCTAGAGCCATCTTTTATACAATACATAGACTCTGTGGCATATATCTACATTTTCAACATATTCCTATATACATTCAAAAATTTTTAAGAGCTGGAACAAATACATTAAAACCTATAATCTTTACCATCTATACATCTCGGTTTTTCCCCTCGGGGTTTTTCTTCATACAAAACTTTACCAGCTTATACTGATAGCTCTCCCCCCAAAATACAAGGCACAAAGAATAGACTTTTTTTTCTCTTGCTTGCACAGACATTTAAATACTATATTAAGCTCAGAAAATTAAAGTCTTATAGGCACACTAGCTCTAATGCCATGTGTGCTATGTACAAGTTAATGGTTGC